ATTCACGAAAAAGTGGAAATACATTCAAATACACATCAATATTGGTATTTTTGAAATCGGCATGAAGCCTACAGATCGAAAATTGATATGCGACGCCATTTCGAAATCCATGATGGCGGTTTCCGATTTCAGATTAAGCGGGAAATACTGTCAAATACTCATCAATATAGGTATTTTTGGAATCAGGATAACATTTGGAGGCCGGAAATCGATATACGACGCCATTTTTAAATCCAATATGGTGGTTTCCTATTTCAGAAAAAATGGGAAATGCTGATGCCGTCCCATCAATATGAGTATTTTTGGAATCGGGGTGACGTCTGGAGATTGGAAATCAATATCCGACGCCGTTTTGAAATCCATGATGGCGGCTTCCGGTTCGAGAAAAAGTTGTAAATTCTATCAAATACCCATACAAACGGTATTTTTTAGAATCAGGGCAACGTCTAGAAGTCGGAAATCGATATCCGACGCCATTTTGTAATCCAAGGCTTCCAATTTGCGGAAAAGTGTCAAATATCGTAAAATATGGTTATTTTTAGATTGGTTCAAATACCGATCAATGTGGATTTTTTGGAATCGGGCTGACATCTAGAAGCCCGAAATCGATGTCCGACGCCATGTTGAAATTCAAGATGGTGGCTTCCGATTTCATAAAAAGTGTCAAATAGCCTTCAAAATGGCATCGAATATCGATTTCAGCATCTACGCGTCGTCCTCGTTCCGAAAATATCCAGATCTTAGGGTATTTGACACTTTTTGTGAAACCCGTGGCGGCTATTGGATTCCAAAATGACATCGGATATCGATTTTCGGCATCTACACGTTGTCCCCATTCCGAAAATACCCATATTGTAGGATATTTGACACTTTTTCTGAAACCCTATGGCCACCATATTGGAGTCCAACATAGCATCGGATATCGATTTTCGGCAGCCACGCGTTGTCTCCGTTCCGAAAATACCCATATCTTAGGGTATTTGACACATTTTATAAAACTTGATGGCCACCATCATGGATTCCAAAATGACGTCGAATATCGATTTTCGGCATCTACGCGTCGTACGCTGTTCCGAAAAAAACCCATATCTTAGGGTATTTGAAACTTTATAAAACCAATGGCCACTATCTTGAATTCCAAAATGGCTGCGGGAATGGATTTTTAGCATCTTCGCGGCATCCCCGTTCCGAAAATACCCTATCGTAGGGTATTTGACACTTTTTCTGAAACCCGATGGCCGCCATTTTGGATTCCAAAATAACGTCGAAAATCGATTTTCTGCACCTTCGCGTCGTCCCCGCTCCGAAAATACCCATATTGTATGGTATTTGAAACTTTCCCTGACCCCGATGGCTGCCATCTTGGACTCCAGAATGGCCTCGTTAATTTAATTTTCGTTTAATATAAAATAATATATTATTACCAACAATCAATACGAAACTAACGATTTTAAATTGGCTCACCACTTTAGTAGCCTATTGGTCCCAAGCAAACGATTAACGTACCCTATTCTAGTTGAAATTCTATTACTACACTATGTTTGTTTTGATTCGCTATGAAAGTTTGACAGATAACATCAGGGGTGTGTGGATTCATGCAGAACATGCAGGGGTGAGTGAAATAGCTTGGGACTGCTTGGGACCGTTGTTCTGGTACTGAGTGAGCCAAAAATAATAATGATTTTCTTCGGGACCCAGTGGTCTTAGAGTTACCTCTATGTTATTACTACATATAATCCGGATGCCATCCCTATCGGCAACCAATATTGTGCGGATATTATCCGGCTACACAGTTTGATGCCTGCATCGTCAGGTCGCATGAGCCCCGAATTGAAGTGAAAGTGGAAAAAACGAAGGAAGCAGTTTTCGAGTCATTCATTGCGTCAATTGAAACAAGTCTGAAGTGCTGAAGTGAAGCACTAGACGAACGAAACAAGTAGTAGTCCAGTCATGTTTGAACAGAGGAATGTTCATCGTGACCCGATAACAAGAAATACGATGACTTACACGAAAATGATATTGCTCGAAATTAAGCGATTCTGTGGAGAGTTCATTTTCTTTTCTTAGTTTCGAAAAAGCAGAACCCTAGTTTACAGTTCAAAGCGAAGTGAAAAATTTGCTCATTACGTTTTTCACGCTGGTGAAAAATTTAGTATTTTGTATGAGATTTTCGCTTCGCTTCGATCTATATACAAGCCTTAACGTGGTATAACCAACAATCAATACGAAACTAACGATTTTAAATTGGCTCACTGCTTGACTAGCCTATTGGTCCCAAGCAAACGATTAACGTGCCCTATTCTAGTTGAAATTCTATTACTACACTATGTTTGTTTTGATTCGCTATGAAAGTTTGACAGATAACATCAGGGGTGTGTGGATTCATGCAGAACATGCAGGGGTGAGTGAAATAGCTTGGGACTGCTTGGGACCGTTGTTCTGGTACTGAGTGAGCCAAAAATAATAATGATTTTCTTCGGGACCCAGTGGTCTTAGAGTTACCTCTATGGTTATACCACAAACGAAGTGACAGACGACTAACTGGCGAAGAAATCAATTAAAATAATGTGGTTCGCTGTAATAGAATTTTCTTAGAAGCTTGTGCCATCAGCCACCAGATGGGCTAGTTTTTTTTGTTTTGAATTGATCATAGTTGATTTTGTGTGCAATATGATCTTTGACAGTGTGCAAAGAGTGTATCATTTTGTAATTTTTTTTATGCATTTCAGTTTAGAGTAGAGTGAAAGAGATAGAACCAAAACATTCTAGTTCAATTCAGTGCCAACATTTCAAAGGGGCGTAATTGCATTTGTAAACAATGGCTTTAGCCATCGATTTCTCGCGAATAAAAGCTCACTCATGAAAAATAATGACACCATTAGGTAGAGGAATGTTTCCTCTACCAGCTAGCATTGTTATTTTGAAGAGGTAAGATTTCATTCGCGAGAAATTGATGGCTAAAGTCATTGTTTACAAAAGCAATTACGCCCCTTTGAAATGTTGGCACTGAATTGGTGAAAATGCTAGTTCAATCCAATAGTAGTGTTGCCATGTGATACAGTCCAGTAGTAGCTGGGTACTGCAGAGTCGACCAATTTTATTTTGCAAGCCAATGGAAAAATGCTTGAAAATTTTCTGAAGTTAAAAACTGGTTTGCCTTTTCTCAGTCGATTGCCGCCAAAAGCTCTGAGCCAGGAATGCTCGAGCCCCCATGACTCTAACAAAGTTTGTTTACATACATGTTTCGCCAAAGTATGTTTGACTGTAATTGAAAACTCAGCTGCCTCATAAAAACTACACACCAAATTTATATTTTGAGTTTCAGCAAAACAGTTTGCTGGAATGGGTTCAGCATAATAATATTTTACTGGAATTCAGAATTAACATTTTTGGCATTGCCGACACCCAGCAAACAGACGAATGTCAGAGTATTTGCTGATAATCAGTAAATTGAACTTCCTAATGACAGTCGGGAAAAGCTTGCCTACACTATCTACTTCAGATTTTATTTTTCATTGACGTTTTTTCGTTGCCGTGCTTCCAGGCACGGTACGTTTTTGTTTTTTTAACTATGAGATATTATAAAGTTTCGTGTATACATGGAGCAATGAAAATTGTTGTCGAAAGCGATAGACAACTGGGATGCCGAGAATTGTTTTGTAAGTTGATTTTTTAGTTATAAATTATGTTTTTGCAGGCTCCAGTGTTTTTTTGCAAGCATATAATTGGAGGATAGCAGGAAAGTTGATTTTCTTGCACATGTAAAATTGCCCCACGGGCCCCGCGGATAAAAAAGTACTCTGAAATTTACTAATCGCCAATGAATAAAATTGTGATTTGCTGTATCGTACTTTTAAATGTGTTTTTTGTGTGTGAGTGTGTGTGAGAAAATACAATAATTTGACAGCTGGTTCCGAACTATGAAGCTGAAACTTGCTGAAGAATCAGTAGAAACGGATATAATTAAATTTACTGTTGTTTCAGTAATGTTTCGTTGAAATTTGCTGGAAAATCAGTTAAACGCTGTCATTTACATTTGTGCGGCAGCTTCAGCAATACATAACAGATTTACTGAAAATTCAGTAAAACGTTGTCATTTTGACAGAAGTTCGAATTTCTGGAAGTTTCAGCAACATTATTTTGCTGGAAGGTTTGCTGATCTTTCGTCAAGTCCAAAATCAGCAAAATTTTGCTGATTTCCAGTAATTTAAATTTGGTGTGTATGCTGGTTTTTATACTTTCATCACTTAGCCTGTTGGTTTCTATCTTTGAGCTTAACATTACGAATGTGTTATGAAAAAGTATAGATCATTTTTATGAGATTAAAATGCTTGACGGTAGATAAGAACAGTAACTGCATTTGCTGCGTCTGAATGTTTGGCTCCCGCTTGACAGTTCACACTGGCTCCCAAGTGACAAGCACCTTGAGTGAGTCCACAGTACTCAGAGTAGTAGTGGTGTTGCCATGTGGTACACTGAAAAATTGCAATAGCAGGTTAGTCGCCAAAGTTTTCGAGCCGCTCCGTCTGTCACTTCGTTTGTGCTTTATACGGTAGAGCCATAGAGGTAACTCTAAGACTAGAAGGTCCCGCAGAAACGTGCTCAACTTTTTGGCACAGCTCTGGTACTCTCATCGGTCCCAAGCTAATCGATTCACCCCTCGAAACATAGGAAAAACCAATAACCCCTCATTTTATCTGTCAAACTTTCATAGCGAATCAAAACAAACATTGCGTAGTACTAGAATTTCGACTAGAATAGGGTACGTTAATCGTTTGCTTGGGACCAATAGGCTACTAAAGTGGTGAGCGAATTTAAAATCGTTAGTTTCGTATTGATTGTTGGTAGAGCAGAGCCCTGTACCGCAAAGGTTATCCAAGAAAATATTTTTTCCTCGGCAACATTTTTCTCAGTGCTGTCCATGTGTGGATCATGTTTTACAACTGTCACTGGTAGCACAAACGGCTTTTGTATACAAAAACAGCTGATAGCAAATTGAACCGAAAACCCCGAAATCGCTTTCTTTACGTTTTTCACGGGCCTTTCTATTTTCCGGTTTTGGAAGAAGCGAATATATTCCATAATGTCCCTATTTCCTGCCTACACCACAACCGCCATCAGCGACTCACAAGGTATGTACTGTGCATCATTGGTGCTCACGAATTCCAGATCCAAATTGTCACAAATAATTCCAGGTCAAGTTCCAGCCCAAACAAGCGATCTTGCATGGCTAACCAATCAGAGTTTTATCGCATTCCCAAGCACGGTGCAAGAGGATGATAGTGCCTCGGAGGAAGAAGAGCACAAACCGAGTAACAGCGTTCACCGGCATCGGGATCGGAAGCGAAAAAGGAAAAAGAAACACCACAAAAAAGAGAAGAAACACCGGAAGCAAGGCGGTAGTGACAGTAATGGGAGTACTAGCCATTCCGAACGTTCCGATGACGATAGGAAGAAGGTGAAAAAGGTTGAGCAACAACCGGTCAGGGTTTCCGAGTTGGATTTCTACACGGACGTGGATGCTTTGAGGATCTATCTGACCGTGGAGACGTTGCATCGTCCGGCTTGTCCCAAGTATAAACTGGGACCGTACCGGTTCGATCGCTTAGGTTGGAGGAAGAGAGGTGTGAAGGTTCAGCGGTATTTTAGGTATTTTAAGAAGTTCAGAGAGAACGCCAGTGGGGGTGGATCGGAGGGAAACGTGTTGGATAAGGAGATGGAGCTGGAGAAGGCCGCTCGAGGGGATTCCTCGGTGGAGAAATGGATTGAATACTACAGGTTTAAGCAGGACAATCCGATTCATGCCGACAGTTATCAGAATCACAAGGCGGAGCTGGCGGTCGTTGAACGGGCCATGCAACGTCATCCGGACGACGATCAGCTCATGGAATTGTATATGGACGGCATTGTGAAGGTTTATCCAACGGATGAAGTGCTGGAATTGATCCAGAAACAGATACGAATGGACAATACGAACGTTCTGCTATGGGATGCATTGATCAGCAATAAGCAGTCCTCGATGGCTCAGTGCATAGCTCCAAACGTGCTGAAATTGTACGAGAAAAGCATCCGGTCGCTATTTTTGGCCAAGCGCAGCGATGAAGTGATGTTGAAATTCTTCAAGAAATGTGCGATTTTCTGCAGACAAAGTGGATTGTGGGAGCAGTTCTTCGGGCTGGTTCAGCTCACCATTAGTTTGAATGTTAGTGGTAATTTTGGGAGCGGAAGACACCTGTTTGTGTCCCCGGAACATAACAACCAGTTGATTGAATACGAAGAATTGATCCTGAAGTCGGGTCTTCCGATGAACGAAATTTGGTTGAGGATCGAGAAACTGCGAAGTGCTTTTCACTTTCTGCCCTTTCAAGGGTCTCACATGTGCGGCGACCCACAGAGAATGGTTCTTCAGGAGGATATCATTGGATTCGTCTATCCGCTGATTAACAAAGAATATGCCTTCGATCTCGTAATTTTGATCCTTAAAATGATGAAGTACCCATTCGAAAGCTGTGCTTTCGAGAGATGTTCATTTTTCGAACCGGAACCGTATGAGTCGGATCATTCCGAGCAGCTGTTGCCGTTGTTTTTGGACTTGAACAGGAATAAGAAAGTCGATTCCATTGTGCTGAATATGATCAAAGAGCTGAACACCCCTCCGTCGTTCATCAACACGAATCTAGCGTTCGAATCGTATTTGGATCTGATGCGAGCATTTCTGATCTCTGCTGCGGAGCACTTCTCCGACGAGAAGAATGTCATCTTGCTGCTTCTGTACCTTAAGCTAGAACGAATTCTTCTGGTGTTCGACAAGCACTCTGGTCCACTCACCGATGAACGTAAGAAAGCCACACGCTCTCGCGTCAAAAATCTTCTCAAAAAAAGCAAGTATCAAAACAACCTCAATTTCTACATCGAATACGGATTGATCGAGTACGAAATGGAAGAACTTGGCCCCAGTTGCGTGAAGATCTTCAAAACCTCTGTACAGGTATTTTGTGCTCAAGATGATCAACTAGATGACAATGATCTCTTCACACTGGTCCTGAAGCTCACCGAAGTCCTGCTGAAGGAAGGCCAAAAGACTCAAGCGATTTATATTATGACCAAGCTAGCACTGAACCCCAAAACCATCAGCTTCGACTCGGCAGAAACTGTTACGGATCCTACCAAGCTGTTAGCCTTGCAAAAATTCAACGAACGGGCCAACCAGTGTCTGACAAAGGATAGTCAAGTCGACGAGTTCATGTCCTTGGAACAGTATTTTATCACAAACCCGCTGATCAACGGCCTCAGAGCCTACCTCTACTACATGGCCTTGATCAAGTCCAAAGCGGAAACTACCAAGAAGATTGATGGTTTCCTATTCCACTTCAACGATCGGGACAACCCCAGACATCGATTCGTTCGGGAACAACTGTTCGAGATCTATCTGAAAATCCTGGAATTCCGGTTGGAAGAGTTTAGCAACGATTGCTTCCTGCAGGTCATCGATCGAGTGCTGCACGAGTACCCGGAGAATCTCACCGCCATTCGTATGTGCACCTATTCGGAATCGCTGTCCTGGTTCCAGATTCGGACGATCCTCGGAAAGCACCTGACCACCAAGTCGGTTCTCCTGTTGGTGACCGCCGCCCGGATTCGTAATCTTTACTCCATCCAAAAACAGACAGCGGAAGAGGAAACTTACGACGACCAGGTCTACAAAAGGCGGATTTTGAATCTGCTCAAGCATTCGGTGCGGAGAGAATCAACGCTTCGGCAGAACGCTCTACTCTGGCGGCTGTACCTGAGAGAGTTGTTCGATCAACCTGGCGGAGATTCGGGAGGGAATGCCCTGGAGCAGTGCAAGCGGACGCTCTACATGGCCCTGGAGGCGTGTCCCTGGAACAAGGTGCTGTATCTGGATGGGGCATTCTTTGCGCCGCAGGAACTGTCGCAGCTGTTGGATTTGCTGTTGGAGAAGCAACTGCGGATACACGCCATCCCGGAGGAGTTGGAGATACTGAGGAATGAGTGAGGATGTTGATGGATGGATGTGAGATTTGTAAATATACGTAAGGTTTTGAATTTTTAGCTTGTTTTTTTCTATGTGACAAGTCTCAATCTTAGTTTTGCTCTTTCTTTACTGTGGATGAGTTATAATTCACAAGCAATATACAGTGCCGACATTTCAAAGGGGCGTAATTGCATTTGTAAACAATGGCTTTAGTAGTCGATTTCTCGCGAATGAAAGCTCACTCATGAAAATGAATGACACCAGCACGCAGAGGGATGTTTCCTGTACCAGCTAGTATTTGTAATTTAGAGGGGTGGGCTTTTATTTGCGAGAAATCGACGACTAAAGCCATTGTTTACAAAAGCAATTACGCCCATTTGAAATGTTGGCACTGATATGTGGGTACATTACGGTACAGGTTATCTAAAATATCACATTGAAAGCTTATCTCATTAGCTTATCAGCCTTGGGCTGATTCCTCTCATCAACCTTGGACTGTTTCGTCTCTGGGAATCCCAGATGGGGAATCCCGTATTTGAGGGGGGGTGGTAATTCCAGAGGGAGATTACCCTAACAACATAGTTTGGATCCCAGAGGGGAATTCCGAAAAAGGGCGTGGGGCCCCAGAAACAGAGTTTTTAATTTGGTGGCCCTGGAAGGGAACCTCCGAGGGGTGGGGCTCTGAAAGGGGTCCCTTAGTTGCTTAGTGGCTGTCTTAATACTGTCATTTTGTTGGAGAATTCCGTTTTCGTTGCGTTGGTCTGTATAGATGCTGATGTGGGTGGTTAGTTGTGAGATTCTGGTTCCGAGTGTGATCTGGTATGGTGGTGGTGCTGATGATGGTGAGTTAGGTGATCAGATTAGATCGAACAGCTCAGCTTCCCGCAGGAAAGCTAAAAGGGCTGTAATTCTGGTAGGATCGTTACCGAGGGCATCGCTGATGCTTCCCGGGATGCCGTAGCGGGTTCTTGGTGCTTCGTATTTCGGACAGTGGCAGATAATGTGATCCATCGTTTGCGGAATTCGGCATAGATCACAGATCCTATGGAAAGGTCCGTCTCCCTTGTAGTTGTGGGAGATGTTTGTATGATGTGTTCGAAGTCGGGATACTATGACCTGCTCTCGATGTATGTGGTGGGTCCGCCCACCTGGAGATGTCTCTTTTAATTTTTCTGATGGCAGGGGTTTCACTGGCCGCCCAATTGTGAGCCCAACCTTCGTTGGTGATTTTTGATACCCATTTTTCGAGGTCCGGACCAGGTACAATTCGCGTGTACTTGGCCATACAACGACCTGAGTTGGCTAGTTGGTCCGCTTTTACGTTACCATGGACCCCGCAGTGTTCAGCTATCAACACAAAGACTGTGTTGTTTGGCTTGTGTTCCTGTATAGCCTGGATCCAAGGGTGTTTGCTCGTATCGGATTCCAGTGCGGCTACCACACTAGTGGAGTCGGTGAAGATGGCTATTGGTCGGTCGTCGGCAATGGTGGTTGCAATGAAGGCGGCAATGGCTTCCGCAGAGAAAATGGAGCACTGATCCGGGAGTCTATGGCATTCCGCGAGGTTTGGACCGAAAATCCCGATTCCTACCTTTCCCTGGGCTACCGAGCCATCCGAGTACCGAATGGTGTATCCTCCGTATTTCTGGTTCTGGAGTTCGAGTACCGCTTGTGCCACCGCTGAAGGATTGGCACCAGCTCTGAATTGGTGTTTGCTGGTGTGGTCGGTCAGAATCTTCGGCTTGTTCCAACCCCTCGCTCCGACCCAGTAAACCTTGGATATTGGGGGAAGAGTCGGTTTGGATGCTTCCCTGAGTGAATTGTTCGCCTCCGTGAGGAGTTTTGGAGATGAAGCGATCAAAGGGGAGCAGTCCTCCTTCGATGCAAGCAGCTATTCCGGGGGTACCTGGCCAAAAGACCCGAACAGATTCGGAGAGATTGTTGATAGACCGGCGCTAACTTTTCGATCAATCGGGGCTTGGCATGGAACGAAGCTTCGATTCCGTAGGTTAGGCGTGAGTTGATGATGGTTTTCGCCACGTTCAGTCGGGATCTTCGGTTGGCATTTGGATGTCGTCCCGCTAGAGTTTTGAGCAGGTTCATACGCTGTTTGCATCCGTTTTTGACATCGTTGAAGATGGTTGAAGTTTGTGTCGAAGGTGAGATGTCGGTCAAAGCAGACCCCGAGGATTCCGATCGTTTTCCGAAACGGAATTAGGCCTTCTTTGATGCAGACTTTGGTGCTGAGGACTTGGTATTTTATCGGAAGCTCTTAGTAGCGGATAGCTGGAAGCCGGCCGACGAGGTCCATGCCGATACGTAGGTGATGGCCTGAATAAGCTTTCTTCGCAGTGCCTTCACCGTTTTCTTGACAGCCTTTAGGACGATGTAGACGAAGATGAAGATTCCAACTGGTAATCGCGTGAAGACATCGTTCATCCGAATGAGGAAAAGAGTAACGGCGATCACGGAACCCTGTTTCCTCCTCGAATGGTTTTGGATCGGCAGTTTCCAAGCGTGACTTGGAAGGTACGTTTGCACAAAAAGTTCTGGATGAATTTTAGGATGTGTCCCTTGAGTCCCCATTTCTTCAGCTGGTCAAGCACTCCCGGCATTCATGCCCGGTTGTATGCTTTGGATAGGTCGAGAGTGACCAGTTCTGCGTGAAGGTTTTTGGAAAATGTATTCTGAAGGGCCTCGCTTAGGGATCCGAAGTAGGTGCTAGTCCCGTGCCCCGGTCTAAATGCGTGTTGGCGGTGGTCTAGAAGATTACGTTCTTCCAGGAATCTGAGTAGTCTCCTATTCACCATCCTCTCCATTATCTTCGATGCGCAGCATGTTAGGGAAATCGGCCGGTACTTGTCGACTTCGTGTCCCACAGAGTTTGGTTTGGGGATCGGGATGGTAAGACTGTGCCTCCATTGTTCCGGGAAGGAATCTTGTGTCCATTCTTGATTAAGGAGTTCCAGGAATTTGGCCTGTTCTCCCATGGGAAGATTTCGAATGAGAGGGTAGCTCACCTCGTCCGGTCCGGCTGAACCTCCTCTGGCCTTCGACAAGGCGAGTGAAAACTCCTCCAAACCAAATGGTCGGTTGATCTCCGAATTCTCTGCATCTTCGGGGATTTCAATGTCCCCGATCGAGTTAATGGTCGGGTGGTTAGGTCGACAAAACTCATCGTCGTAACTGTCGATCGATGAAAGCGAAGCAAAGTAGTTCCCGATGGTGTCGACGATTTCAACCGGATCATGGATAGCCACACCTTCATGTACAATGGTGATACCTTGAGCTTTCCTCTTTCCACTGATTGCATTGCATCTTGCGGTTCTCATCATATTGCTTTCGTTCTTCGTCCTGTTCTTGCCTATCTAGCTGCTTCCGAGCCTGCCGCTTGAGGCAGGAATTCATCCGGTGCCCCTTCAGCTTTGTTCCCTTGATAGAATATCCATATATACACCACGTACACCAGTGTACATTAGGGTGCTTCATTCTGAAAAAAGTGATGAATTTCTGATGGGCCACCCTCCAGTTCGATTCATAGCCCCAAAATATGAACCTGTGCAAAAATTGGTAAAGATTGATGAAGGTTTAGAGGTCGCGCCAATGATTTGAAATTTGTATGGGAATTACTATGGAAGAATTTAAAAAATCGCTTATATCGCTATAACTTTGCTTCTACTTGTCCAAATGTCGAAAAAATTTAGTATGTTATTGCTATGGCAATAAACAAAAAGCCTACAGTTGCTACGCTCAGTTTTGCAGCGTATCAAGAATTATAAAAATGTGAAAAAATGGCAAAATAGGGTAAATTGACAGATGAATATGTACAAGGCAACAACGCCAATTTCATCGCAACAACAACAGGCTTGTTGATCATTGTCATGACAACCACATATTTTTTTTTTTCAACGTTTGGACAACTACAACCAAAGTTAGAGCAATGTAAACGAAAATCAATAATTTCCCATACTAATTCACCAAAATCTCCATACAAAATCCAAATCATTGGCGCGACCTCTAAACCTTCATCAATCTTTACCATTTTTTGCACAGGTTCATATTTTGGGGCTATGAATCGAACTGGAGGGTGGCCTATCAAAAATTCATCACTTTTTTCAAAATGAAACACCCTAGTACATGTTGAAGCCAGGGCTGACAAATGTCATTTTCAATGAAAGATCTCACGCGATATTTACAGACATTCGCCATTTCACCCCATGGGGAGTTTTGCACTTCCATCCATTATCAAATTGTTTCCAAGGGTTTCGACAAGCGATCGAGTTACATGCAAAGAACAAACGCGTTCCGAGCAATCACGATCGACACCGAAAGATACAACTGCAGCTGCTTCTACAGCTGAAAGCTAATTGTTCTATTAAGTTGCGAAGCGGCGGATGGCCGAGGCTTGGAGGTTCCGTCAAATCACGACATCTAAATACCACAACTTTAATACAAAAATGCTTCTCTTTTATTTCAGTCAGGATTTCCTTTTTCCTTAAACAAGTTTAAAACTTAAATCCAACACTTCCCATCATCTATGAACCTGATTCACATGAGTATTACGCCTATCAGCCTAAAAGTTACAAAAATGGCAAACATTTCTTCCCTGGAGTCAGTTCTGTGTTGGTGTAAATTCCGGATTCCAGAAGTCCGGTGGCGTCTCGTGCAACTGTGCCAATCGACACTCCCGACAGCTCCTGGGCAGCTTTCTGCAAGCGACATCCGGCGGCAGGCCCCGGTTCAGCAGAAACTGGTACTGCTTGGTGCATTCCGTACAGCGACGCTCGTTCGGAATGGTCGACGGCATAGGTTTCTTCAGCACCGACAGGTCAGATTTAACCGGAAATAGACTTTCTTGTTTGTCGTCGCGCTTAACGGGACCCATCACGTTGAGGACGGAAAGGCGAGCGCTTTCCTCCTTGCGACGTTCCTCGCGAATCGCCTCCATGAAGAGATCTTTCTTGCTCGGTTGTGTCTCCTCAATCGTAATGACTTCCTCCTGCGAGATTGGCTTTACGAACATGATGCTACTCGTGTCGGATTCCTGGTCCGATTGAGTTTCCCCGACTAGCATCGGTGCCTTCGGCTTCTTCTGGGTTACTGATTCCACTTTCACCCGGGGCGGTGGCACAAATGGGCGGGCAAACGGTTTCGATCGAGTCAGATCCTTTTCCGCTTCGGAGAAATAGGTTTGATCGATGTCAAAGTCGTCGTCATTATCGGGAATTTCCTTGATCTTAGTCGTTACTGGTTCGGATTTCTTTTCGGTGGTTTTCGCCACATTATGGCTGGCAATTAACGAGGATTGCTCTTTCTTTTTGGCGCTCTTGAGAAAACGAGTAGCACTCAGAACCGTTGCCGACGTTGGACTCGGAACGACGAATTCATCGAAAAATGTTTCATCCTCATCCGTCATGGACTTATTCAAACTGTCCGGGAACTTCAGCTTGGTTTGTCTTAATCTGCAAGAAGATTCCTTTCAACTCTACCTTAAAATTATCAATTTCGATATAACCTACCTCGTCCGATTGAGCAACGAGTTGCCTTGCTTGGTGCTACTGGTGGGCGTTTTTCGCATACTGGAATCTATCCTTCTGGCACTGCCCGGAGTAGTTTTCTTCGCAGTCCATTTTCCCACCGGCGGTGCTACATTTTCCTGTTCCATAACGGCCTTCGGTTTTGGGGTTGCCAATTTCTGCCGTACAGGAAGCAACTCCGCTTGCTTGCTCGTCTCCGGGGACATTTTGAAGCTACTCGAAAAGCGACTCAACGAAAGAGCCCCCTTCTTTTTCTTCTTTTCCACTTCACCCGTCTTAGAGCCATCGTCTTGTCCAGAAAACAAGTCCGTTTTAAACCAACCCTCCCGTTTTGGGGGAGTCCTAGGAACATTCTCCTCCAAACAACTGGTTGGTCCTTTTGGCGAAAGCGGTTCCCGGGACGGACTTTGAGTGAGTGCAAAAAACGAGTCCTCCGAATCCGGTAGATTTATGTTCTGATCTAGAACCGAAGCCGACACTTCAGGATCGGATCGGTTCCGCAGTGCAGGCGAATCGTCCGTCCGGACGACCGTTGAAGGCGAATCGAACGAGTGTGCTTTTCGACGCTTGTGCGGTGGGGCCGGCGGAGTGGACGTGGGTTCTGGTTTGGATTGCGTTTTCAGTAACTTCAAGATATCGTCGTATCCGGTATTCACATCCGACACAAGGGGTTGCATACCTAAAAAGTCGGAAGCATCGTGAAATTTCATGGACAAACAAAACCAATAACAACTTACACAAAGCAGTTTCAATTATGTTGTTGAACAGCCGCAGAAACTTTTGGTGAACCTTGCGATGCTCTTCGTATTTTTCTATCAAAATATCGTGGTCGCACATTTTGAGGGTTTACTATTAGTCACATTCTGGAGTTTTTCAAAATTATTAAACAACTGAAAAATTTAAGCAAATTTAAGATAATTACCTTTATGGCACTCGGAGAAATTGAAAACAAAATCAATTCACGGCGAATGATAACGACCCAAATTTGAGTTTAGTTCACTCATAATCGCCAAAAGTGCAGGAACTCAGCGATGAGTAAATTTGCCTCATGTTTTCCCAGGTTTTTCTTGGATTTTGCAGGGAAAAATTCCTGAATTTGAGAAAAGTAAATATTGGATTCACTCAGTCTATTGGTACTACTCCGAGACTGAATAAAATTTTCGTCAATTTCCTCATTTTCCGGCAGATTTTTTAGGTTTTCCACAGGAAACCATATAAGGCAAATTTTACTCATCGCTGAGTTCCTGCACGGCGAATGAGAACAACACAAATTTGAGTCTAGTCCACTCATAATCGCCAAAAGTGCAATCTTTACTTTTCTTAAATTCAGGAATTTTCCCCTGGAAAATCAGGGAAAAACCTGGGAAAACAAGAGGCAAATTTACTCATCGCTGAGTTCCTGAACTTTTGGCGATTATGAGTGAATTAAACTCAAATTTGGGTCGTTCTCATTCGCCGTGTATTGCATGCGCGCAGCGAATTTTGACAGTTCTGGCGGTCGGTTTGGTTGTGGATCAGATATTTTCCATGCACTGGACAAAATCTGAGCCTCAAATATATGTATTCCTGCCCATAAGAGCGCCGGTATTAGAACATTTTTATTTATGGTTTGAGAACTAAAATGGTAATGATTATAGTAGTTAGTAAGTGTTGCAATGACTGGTAACCTTGTAACCTATGAGAGCATTGATAAAGTGAAGCTTGTAAAGCGAATACTTTTGTATCTCTTCGTTAATATTCCAACATATTGGCGACTGAAGATGGGATTAAATTCAGAAAAATTTGCTTAAATGCTCAATTGCGTAGCTCTGCCTTCTAGGAAGCGGTCGTATCAACAATCAATACGAAACTAACGATTTTAAATTGGCTCACTATTTGACTAGCCTATTGGTCCAAAGCAAACGATTAACGCACCCCATTCTAGTCGAAATTCTAGTACTACACTATGTTTGTTTAGATTCGCTATGAAAGTTTGACAGATAAAATGAGGGGTTAGTGGATTTTCCTATGTTTCGAGGGGTGAATCGATTAGCTTGGGACCGAAGATAGTACCAGCCAAAAAGTTGAGCTCTTTTCTTCGGGACCTTCTAGTCTTAGAGTTACCTCTATGGTCGTATCTGCTTCACTACGCTGGTTCGGAAGTACAAAACATATTTTTCAACATCGAAGGACACAACGCTGCTTCCCCTGCGGGTTCTGATGCAAATAACCAAGTTATTGGTTTGCTTGATGCTCATTTTGCTCCGTTGAATAACATCCCAAATAGAAATTGTAATGTAGGAAACCTCGTAGGAAACATCAGTAGACATCTTCAATACATTAAATTTTAACATGTATTGCTGTACCCTTAATGTATTCAGACTTCAGTGTGACGTCCAAGTACATAAAAATACATAAGCCTCAAACGTTACATCAGAATCAAACGTCTTGACGATGTAAAATTTGACATCCGAATACTTCATCACGATGTAATTTGTTGCACGCATAGAACATCAGAATACATCCAATGACAACAGAACCTAATACCCCGGACAGACTATGGCTTGTATCATGTAATATAGGCTGTCTTGCAATGAGCACTCATACATAGGATTTCCAGTGAAAACTAGATGTATGAGTGCTCATTGCAAGACAGCCTATATTACATGATATAAGCCATAGTCTGTACGGGGTATAACCATAGAGGTAACTCTAAGACCACTGGGTCCTGAAGAAAATCATTATTATTTTTGGCTCACTCAGTACCAGAACAACGGTCCCAAGCAGTCCCAAGCTATTTCACTCACCCCTGCATGTTCTGCATGAATCCACACACCCCTGATGTTATCTGTCAAACTTTCATAGCGAATCAAAACAAACATAGTGTAGTAATAGAATTTCAACTAGAATAGGGTACGTTAATCGTTTGCTTGGGACCAATAGGCTACTAAAGTGGTGAGCCAATTTAAAATCGTTAGTTTCGTATTGATTGTTGGTATAACCAACAATCAATACGATTTTAAATTGGCTCACTACTTGACTAGCCTATTGGTCCCAAGTAAACGATTAACGTATCCCATTCTAGTCGAAATTCTAGTACTACGCAATGTTTGTTTTGATTCGCTATGAAAGTTTGACAGATAAAATGAGGGGTTATTGGTTTTTCCTATGTTTCGAGGGGTGAATCGATTAGCTTGGGACCGAAGAGAGTACCAGAGCTGAGCCAAAAAGTTGAGCACGTTAATTCGGGACCTTCCAGTCTTAGAGTTACCTCTATGGTATAACCAACAATCAATACGAAACTAACGATTTTAAATTGGCTCACCACTTTAGTAGCCTATTGGTCCCAAGCAAACGATTAACGTACCCTATTCTAGTTGAAATTCTATTACTACACTATGTTTGTTTTGATTCGCTATGAAAGTTTGACAGATAACATCAGGGGTGTGTGGATTCATGCAGAACATGCAGGGGTGAGTGAAATAGCTTGGGACTGCTTGGGACTGTTGTTCTGGTACTGAGTGAGCCAAAAATAATAATGATTTTCTTCGGGACCCAGTGGTCTTAGAGTTACCTCTATGGTACTACCAACTACGACACTTTTAAATTGTCCGTTAAATACTTGTTCGATGAACAACTTGCGAGAGTTATGTCTGTTTGTCTGTGGTATAACCATAGAGGTAACTCTAAGACCAGAAGGTCCCGAAGAAACGAGCTCAACTTTTTGACTCAGCTCTGGTACTATCTTCGGTCCCAAGCTAATCGATTCACCCCTCGAAACATAAGAAAATCCACTAACCCCTCATTTTATCTGTCAAACTTTCATAGCGAATCAAAACAAACATTGTGTAGTAGTAGAATTTCGATAAGAATGGGGTACGGTATTCGTTTGCTTGGGACCAATAGGCTAGTCAAGTAGTGAGCCAATTTAAAATCGTTAGTTTCGTATTGATGGTTGGTATAACGTTTACATATAAAAACATCCTTAAAACGTTTGGTACTAATGTCAATAGATTGAAATTTTTGACGTCAGACCGACATTAGAATGGCAAAATTTTGTTCCAAAATTTCTGATGTATACACCATGTTTCGTTGCTTAAATACAACTAAATCATAATGTTTTCTAATGTTTGACATCAGGCATACATTTGATTTCGACGCTGATCAAAATCAAACGTTGGGCTAATGTAAATTTCTATTCGGGATACCATATGAAAGATGTGTTTTTCGGAAAATGGAACAGTATCAAGAGCAAATTGTCATTACGTCGAATGTAACAAAGGTAAACAAAGTCGAGCTATCAGTGTCAATCGATGCTCCTGCTATTACACTATATACTGTCCGAATATAGGATCACATCCCATTTTTAAATTTATTTACCAGTCGAATTGCTTTTTGACGTAATCACCTTCCGATCAAAATAGTTTTCGATGTTACTTAAGTCATCCGATTTCTATGGAGATGCCGTTTGCCTTAAGTAACAGCACTGAGAAACCCGCGAAAAGTGTACTTTCGTCGTTTCGCCTTCTCATTATTAAAGTGAATAAATCGAACTGTTTGTTGTTAAGATGATTTCGGTGGTCCTAAAATGATGAATGGGCTGCACGTAAGGAGACGTAATTGATAATTCTCCCGAATATCCTGGTAAATACACTTTGACTTAAGCAGTGCTGAGATTTGTCATTGTCATTGACAGACTTTTGCACGATATTGACAAAATTGTTTTTCACATAGTCAATGATAGAATTGATCCTCAAAAAAATCTTTGTCAAAATCTCATTCATTTTTTCGTCAATGACAAAGATTCACCTGGTAACAGAAAGTTTAATTTCTTGCATTCTGAGACACATTATTGTTATCCAAGCGGTTCAGGACGTAGATGTTTATTCACTTTAATTGCTCCATGTAATTGTTTTGCTCAAGCCATTTAATTTCATTTCAAATTTAGCTAATAAACAAATCAGCACATGTTCGTCACTGACAAAAATGGTACTGACAATTGACATGGTTTGCCTTGACGATGACTGTTAGCTCAAACGAGTGACCAAAGCAGAATTTTGAGTATCACCGTGTATTGTCGAAATTTTGCAGCACTGGACTTAAGTAACAATAGGGGCCACCAAACGACGTATAATAACTTTTGACTCAAAAACCAGTATTTCTTAGCATGAAAGCTAGCGATTTGTCTTTGTATGGTTAAAACCCGGCTGAATATGTTAAACATTGCTATCACTATGAGAATATATGTGTTTAATTGGAAATAGGAATAACTTTTCGGTCATCAAAACAAAACTTTATTTTTCTCGGATCGGTGCGAATGTTACTTACGACATAATGAAAATTTGCTCTTGAGTTGAATAGTGCAGGGGCGCAGCGCTGCCATTTATACAGATTTATCTGTATTATACAGATTTTTTAATCTTAATACAGACCCGGTACAGAATACAGATTTATCACAGATTTTTAAATTACAATACAGATTTATACAGATTTTTATAAAATGCTTGAGAAAAAAAAATTCAAAATTTATAAAAACAAAATAACTTGCTCGATTTTATCAGCGAACCCCCTTCTCACCAAAATTAATTGTTGTGCTAAAAACCATATTTTTTGCAGTGGGATCTGCTCGAGGCGTTGCTGTTTCTTTTATGCTTCTCTCACTCCCTCCAACGGAAAACGCAGTCACGCCCGTCACGGTAGTTTCGTACTTAGCTCTCATTTTTGTTCTGTTAGCCATCAACTCCATCAAAATTAAATCAATTTGAGTTATCAGGAATAATGAAAACAACATAATTCTTGTTTTCATTTTGTTCTCACCCTCTGCTCGGGAACCTATCAAATTTCCATCGACAATTAATCATGTTATGGTGTTTTTGACAGCATTCACAACCAGAGGACCAACCGCTTTCGGATGCATATGGAGCTGGTAGTAAACCTAATAAAAATAACCATAAAAGAGA